GGCGTAGCGGTCGTGGTTGGTTGACTGACCGGGCGGTGTACTGAGTGGCGTAGAGGGGACGAGGCACCCTGTCGATTAGGGCTAAGGACTGGTGCTTGCTCGACGTCCTCATGTGTGAGACAAGAGCGACCAAGCCTTGAAGGCTGGCGCCCTTGGGCGAGCCTGGCACTGAATGCAGCCTTACGAGCTGCATCCTCTTTCTCCTTTTCCTGCGTGGCAGCAGTGATCATGTCGACCCGGTGTGCAAAGCCCTTCGTGATCCCATTGATCACAACGGACTCCCTAGGGTCAGGATAACAACATGGATCGAGAGGATCGGCCATGACCTTATACTCCTCGGGCCCATAGTGGTCATGGACCCACCAGCCATGTTGGCTGTAAATCTTCTCGCTCTGGCCAATACAGGCATTCTCGAGACGAGATCCACGAAGGGTTTCCAAGGCCTCCTTGTTGCCATAGTAGCAGACAGGATCCAACAGCTGCTGAGCACATCCCATGATGGTGCTCTTCCAAAGCCCATTGGGGGTGGTGACGTTGAGGTGCTTTGGTGTTGACTTGAGAATGGCGATCGTAGTCGCCGGAGCTGTGCCCGACTTCGTGAGAACGGGTCGACCAAAGACGTTAAAGTGGTGAATGCACTTCAAGCTCTGCAATTCCTCGAGCTCAAACCACTGGTAGTCGGACTGAGGATCTCTGATGATTTTCGGATAGTCCTCGTCCTCCTCACCGTCGATGATGCTGTCCCCGCTCTCAATGCCTCTATCCCCATCGTGCATGTACTGCACGAAGTCTCGTCTTGACGACTCACGTTCCTCCGGAGTCCACTCTTCATATTCGACCTTCACCAAGGGGAACCTCTCCACATCCCGGAAAGCCGCAAACACTGCAGGCGTGCGGTCATCACGGTTTGAAGAGGTAGGGTAGTAAAACCCCTGGACATACAGCGGAGATGCTTCTGCTCCGTCTGATGTCATCTCTTCTTCCCTGCGTTGATAATACAAGGCTTCAGCATCGAAATCAGCGTCGGCTTCGAGGACGTTGAAGAGTTCCGGAGTTGACGGCATGGTGACTGGTCGAGAAATTTGTGGTGTCAAGTTGCCGTGGGAGTGTTGTCGTTCGGTGGGGAGATATGTTGCTGGTGGACGTGTGCAGGGGTTGCTGTCCTGCACACTCGGGACAAACTCTGCAGCATGAACGTTCAAGTGCGGCTCGAGTCTATGCGCTTGTGCACCAGGCACAAATTGTCTCGCTTGGACGTTGAACGTTGGCGGAAAAAGTGTTTGTCGCGATGGGCATAGTAGGTCTTGGTCGCTACTATGAGTCCTCAGAGAGGGAGTACGAGCAGTGGGGGAGCTTGTATATATATATTCAGGGGGCATCAGCGAGCCTTGGGCAAGGAAAGGACCTTGTGTTGGTTCCTATATCACATTAGCTAACCCTTTTCGAGTGGTTGAGGATCTCATTGGTTACCATTGCAACTGAAGACGAAGAAGTGGAGTAAGTGTAGAAGGTGTCCATTTAGATTGCTTCAAGACTTATGTTTTCAGTTTGATAGTGTGAGGACTTGGTTGTACCGTGTCAAGAGATGGTTAGATGGGTATCTGGCTCAGGTCAAAAGAAACCTTGGGATTGCTGAGAGATAGAAAGGTTGATGGCGAGGAAAGTTGGGATATTTCAAGGGGCGCGTCGCGTCACACTGTCCAGCTGTCTAACAAGGCAAGACACAAGAGTATTCACTTGTTCAGATTGGTATCTGCCATCATGTTCACCAGCGGAAGGTTGACAAGGCCGCAGTGCTTGGGTCCGCGTGAGGCCGATCGCGACACTCTCGGATAGTGAATAAAGGGTCTTGGGGGATGGTCCAACTGCCTCCAGATACAAAGCATCCTCCATTCCAGTATTTAATTTTCTTTCTTCACCACAGACCGGGTGATTTTTGTTGTGCATGGGCTCGCACATGACGGGGATTGATGGGAAGTTTTGAGCATCCACCAACAGTGGCGTCGTGCCATACATATACCCGATTTCTGTTCGTCTCTCAACCTTCACCGGTTTCCATGTTAAGTGACATTTTGCACCAACTGCTGGCTTGGGGTCACGGCGACATTTGACCGTGTGAATCCCGCGTTCAACCGTCGGAGATCTCGCGGACCAAACCATGGGAGGTTGGTTTTCCTCAATTCTGGAATGTCTGTATAATTTAGGATCATGAGTGTGTGATATCTACAGTACTTAGCACATTGGGATTCTGCATCCATGTCTCAGTTCTGGCCCCTCATGAGTTGTCCTGGAGCACTGGGAGACACGCTGCTTATCAGGGAGTTCGGATGGGCCACAAGAGCTGCTTCAAGCCTGAGGAACATTCACAGGGAAAGGCCTGAGTAGAGGTATTTGTTAAGCATTCCACTGGCACGAGGGAGAGGAAAACTTTGTTGATGATTGATGAAAGAATGTGCGAATGGTTGGTTGAAGTTGGATGTTGTCGTGTTCTGACTTTGGGTGCATGTGGCCCGTGCGCAGCCAATATTCCACGAGGCTCGCCAATCAAGACTCGACAAAGAAACCTTTTGTTGAATAAACTTTCCAAGCAGCCAAGAAATCAAATGTAGAGAGAGAAATGGATTATATGCTCTCTTCAGCACAACAATGGCACTTCTCTTCCGTGTCTTGTCTGACAATGTCCTTCCTAGATTCTAGACATCAAAGAATACGCAACTCGCCCACCAACCTATCCCCTTTAGATAATTCCCGACCAACCCACAGCTCTGCGATTCCCTCAACTTGGCTCACAGGAGACTGCCATGATGTAGTAATATTCAGAGAAGCATGTTCCCAAGTGAGTATTGGCCGGGTCATCAATTCTCAACGACCATTCTCCGGTACAATCGGGCTGCATCCACATTGTACATGCTCCTGCGCACATCCCCTGGATTAGCCCCCGACCGTGATAGGAGGACGACAGTGATTTGGTAGTGCTCACCAAACCAGCTGGAACATTCATTTGTCCACACATTCTTCATCCCAGTTGCAAGAGGCATGCACCCAGTGGTGCTTGGATAGACAAGCTGTTGATAGCTGACATCCTCGCCGCAAATCTGCCATCAGCCGTTAGCCTGTTAGCAAGCGAGTGGGCTGAGAAGACAGAGCATCCTTCTAATGTCATGCCAACCATCTTGCAGAGCTCAATGAGAACTTACAGTTGGGCTGAAATCCCAGATACAGCTGTTAGAACCGATATCGGTGATGTTGGTGACGGGGAATGGCATCGCCGTGCTGGTCAGAACTTGTAATGAGAGGATGCTAGCAAGGATGCTGATGAAGCGGTTGAAAATGAGTTTGAGCATCGTGATCTAGGAATCTGCACAGCAGTGGTTTTTTCGTCGATGTCGAAATAAGATATGAGGTCGGACAGGCACTCCAGAGATTTGAAATGTCATACGTTACAAAGAAGAGCCATGGCGTACCATATTCATTTCTCCAGTACTCGGAATGGCTTCTACGACCCCACTCGTAGTGATTTGCCCAAGGAGTGTGGCCAGGAGTTCACTTATAAAAGGCGAAAGATACCTCTTCAAACCACAAAGGGACCCCGTCAACTGGCCTCGTAGCGCATGAGACATGGGACTCCTCGAGCACAAAGGCGAACGGGGGGAGCCTGGCCAACGTCTGCACAATTAATTGTGAGTTGATATGATCGATTCGATCGAATGTGTGTTTAGTGGGCGGATCCATGATACGAGACGATTGCGGTTACAGCTCGACTTCTTCGCAGCGTTTGGCGATTGGGATTGTTTCAAAAGTGACGTCGAGATTCCCGCCTCGACTCCCCCGCCGACTGCATTATTTTCATCAAATCTTGGAAAAGAACCTGGTCAAACACTGAACAGGCTTGGCCCTTCTTACCCTCTGTCTGCTTTGTCCTTGTCTGTCATGTCTGCCTGGTATTCTTCTGCAAGCTCGGCCCTTTTCAACCCTGCCTGGTCGCGATTGAAAACGACAACCTCGGGCTGTGCGTATGTACGACGAAGCCTTCGGCAATCCGCATGGCACACATTTCATTCTCGAGTCCTCACGATCTAATCTACAGTCACCGTCCTATACCCATTATATGTCTCTGTCAAATCTCAGTCAACCTCAAGTCCCTGGCCTCCACAACGCCATGAAAGCGTAGACACCAGTGCCGCTCGCCACTCAAGAGTCAAGCAAACCTCGAGCAGAAAAGAGTGTGGCGAACCTAGGGCAGGGATAGGCAGATACCATTTCCAATACGTCTTCATGCAAACATCTTACACATGGAACTGTCTGCGACGGATTTGATGGATTCAAAGAGTTTTAAATGCTTCGATGCAGGTTACCGTCAATCCCAGACCTCGACATTCGCGTGGAGGCACAATGCAAGGACATTGCATGTCCACATAGAGCACCCGCCTCGCATGCATTTTACATGGTCCACATCACCTGGAAGCGAGCTCGACATTCCCGACTGGCTGGAGATGTTGGCTCAACGATTGAAGAGCAGCTATAAATCAGCCAAGTCGAATGTCCAGGTTTGTGGGTTGACGGTGCTGCCAGTCGATCAGTACTTCGTGTGTGTTCTGGGCTGATTTCCCTTCGAATTCACATTTCATCATCCCGAATTTTGATTGCTTCTTGGGCATATCCCTTTGCTACCCGCCTTCTTCTCGGTTTCCGTGACGGCTATGCCGTGTCTTGCCGCATGTGCCTAGAGGACGTCCAGTTTACCACAACAACGGTATTTATATCGCTGGCACAAGAACTGACACCTGAACCTGTTCTGTCTCAACTGCCATTGTCCCAAAACTAAGCCGCCTCAACATCAGGATTCCCGCTACAGCGACATGTCTGCAGTTCCGTGCTCGCATTGTCACCTCACAACACTCGGGCTTGGTGGACGGGGGGCTCATCTGGTAATCCCATCAATAGTTGCACCTGTTTTGGCCTTTGTGCTCGTGGCAAACCGGATCTATTGGCGCATGAGGATGCTGGGCAGACTCGGCTCGGACGATTTGACGACCATCCTCGCCTTGGTAAGTTAGCGTGTTCAAGACATGTTGGATACGGTCTCACCACTTCGCAGGTGTTCCTTGTCGTCCAATGCGGTGCTTCCGTTGCCGCGGTGGACTATGGATATGGCCGGCCATTTGACCTCATCAGTAAACAACAAGCTGAACAGGCATTGAAGGTACGACTGGACTCTATATACTTCGGCTGACGACTCTGACATTGGCAAAGTGTTTCTTTCTGCTCCAGATATTCTATAAGCTTACCATCAACTGCACCAAGCTGTCGATGCTCTTCCTGTATCTCCGCATATTCACCGACCGCATCTGGTTTGTTCGAACCTGCTGGATTTTGGTCGCCCTTGTAATTGGTGCTTGCATCTCTTTCACCCTCTCAACCATTCTCCAGTGCTCTCCGATCTCGCGGGCATGGGAGCGCTGGCGGATTGATGCGAGTTGTGTCGACATCTATGCTCTGTGGTATAGCAACGCCATCTACAACATTCTGACAGATTTTGTCATTGTCTTAATGGTGCCGCCAGTTATATTCAAACTCAAGTTGCCGTTGCGGCAGAAATTGGCTCTGACTTGTGTCTTCGGGCTTGGTCTGATTGTGTGTGCTGCATCAATTTCCAGATTGACAACGCTGTACTCTTCCGCCTATGGCGACGACATTACCGCTGGGTCACTTGTGTCAACAATCTGGACCACGATCGAGGCCGGGTTGGGTGTCATCTGTGCCAATCTGCCCATGATACGGACGCCGCTTCAACATTTTTTCCCAAAATTGTTCCCTCCAAGGACTGGAACAGATCACATCCCTAGTACAATTCCTTCTCAACGAAGTGGCCAGGTCAGCGGCGAAGCACTAGCTTCTCCCGCAAGACTGATTCCGCCACCCATTCCTGTACGCAAGACAAGCCTTACAAACCAACCACGGGTCGGTAGGATTTCAGAAGCCAGAGGGATGCAGAACCGAAGTAGGCTGCACGGGGACATGGTCAAGCTGCACAGCAGCAGCAGACTAGCACATTGCCAGGATCTTGAGATTCAGGCAGGATACTCTGACTTCTCGAGCCATCCAGAGGTTGGTTTGGCACGGACGAGAGAAGTGGACTGGTACGCAGAACAGCAGCAAATTTGGTCACCGTAAATTGGCCATGGCTAGGTACAATTGATCTGGGTGGAAATATTATGACAAGTCGAAGAGCTGGCTAGTGGGAACTATTCGACAACTTCCTAGAATGAATAGCAATGTCTCGCGTATCTGATCTGGAAGGGATTGTGAAAGTCAGACAGAGGGGCAGCATCAAAATAAACTCCTGCTCGAGAAATGACCGCCAGCAGCCAATCAGTAGACATGCCAAGTCGACTCGGCGAAGTTGCCACAATAAGCGTCTTGGCTGCGCATCGATTGGCAACGATCCTGATCCTGATGAAGGAGCTCCTAGACTCAGGATCAATTCATTCAACAGCTTCAGTACCCTTCCACAACACTGTCGGAGGCATTTGAGTCCCATGTAAGCTGTCGAGAAACACCTGGCTTCCACGAAATTGACCAAAGAACTCGAACAGCTCGAAATGTCGTTCGTCATCCGCCGAGCCGTGTCAACCCTGGTTCCTCCGAAGGTAAAACCTCGACTTTGTATCTCTGTTCTGCTACCAATCTGGATTTGCTGACTCGGATGGTATAGGTTGCCAACCCAGAGGTAAGAATCTTATCGACTGTTTGAACCCTCTCTACCGAGCATTTTCTGCGCGCATCGAGCGAAGTGGCAGCACGACACGTCCTCGACACCTGACACGCTTCACACTGCTCACGAACAGCATCACTTTTGATGAACAAGATCTGACGGATGATTGCAGGGTATCGGAGCTGCCAAAAATGCCGTCCGAATGGCGAGAATAGCCAAATTCTACGAAAAACTACCAAAAGGACCTGCGCCAGCACGAGCACCCAGTGGGCCGCTAGGGTGGTATCAGGCAAAATACTTTGGCAAGAATCCATCAGCAGCTCGTACGTCTCTTCCGCGCGACACTCGGCTGGATAGAACATCGTTGAATGGCTAATCTTGTGGCAACAGCTATCTGGCACGTTATTTTCGGGATCATGGCAATGGGTTACAGCATGGAATACTACTTCCATCTGAGTATGTGCTGCCAGACTAAAGTATCAAAGCCGGTCTTGACTAATTGCGCATGTAGGACACCACAAGAACAATGCCCACTGATCGATACTGCATTGAAAGGAGGGTGGTCACTGTACATAACGCCAAAATAAACCTGTTGAACTCGCGGAAAGGCACATTATCAAGACCTATCTATCAGACCACTTTCCTTCCAGGTCGCTTCTTTGTTTTCTCTTTTGCTGTAGCTCCGCGCCAGAATCTCAGACCCTCCATACAGTTCTGAGGGTATGAAAGACTCCGTTTGCGGTACCCTGGCCCTCCTTTCCCAGACAATAGCCAAAAGGGCACGGCGTATTCGGCGAATGTAGAGATGGGATAGGACAAGTAATGAAATGGCTTCTGAGGACGAAGTAAAACCTTTGCTGAATGGCTGAAATGCGGCTGCTGTACAAAGACGAGCGCCAAGGCGAGGTTGCCGCAACCCGACACGACGGGCCGTCGACTTCAAAGGCGCAGCCTCTCCTATCTCAACTGACTCAACAACCACCATTTCTTCTTCTTCCACACCCTTGTACCCCCTTTTTGAGGTGTTGTATTACTTCTTTCGCCTTTCCTCCTCAAATCCCGCATCGAGTCCCCTCCGCGACCTCAAAGCGCAGTCGTGCGTTGACGGGCAAAAACCGACAGGCTAGCAACCGTGGCAGACTACGCGCAGTAACAGGTACCCTCACGCCACCGAATCAATACGAATCTGGCACCCTAACGATTCTCCCCCTTTGTCTAGATCCGAGTTTGTTATGGCAGAGCAGAGAGCACAAGATGTGGTAAACCAATCTCAGTCGGTGGGCGATCTCTCGCCTTCCGACGTACCTGCGACCACATCTACACCTGATATCAAACTTCCTGGGGACGATATTGGTAGGAATAGTGCTGTGGTGGAAACAGAGGTTGCGCCAAAAGAGAATGGAATCCATACAGTGTCAAGTCTCAAAATGGAAGAACTCGAGGATGGTTCTGCTCGCTCAGACACAGATACGAGCCGGGCCGAGGGGAGTGTCGCTGGTGACAAAGTCACGGAGCCAAAACCTTTGAAGAAATTCGCTGCCAAACCTGTCAGCTTTGCAAAGTATTCGGTCCCCAAGGTCATCGCTGCGAGCGCAGCGACAAAACCTAATGAGAAAAGTACGTGCGCTCTGGCTCTAACCCGACGAAACTAACATCCGAGTCCAGCTACTACTCCCCATTCCTCATCCTCGTCCCTCGCCCAAGCAGGGCGTCCACGATTAGTTGCCAAAGCCACAAGCTCCTTACAGTCAAAGGCGAAACCTTATCAAAGCGCCAGTCCGGATCCCATGCAGGTATGGAACAAGAACAGAGGTATGGTCCCATCCGCTTGCGTTCCGATCTGCCGGAGACTGATCGTGTCACAGTTACGCCACAACCTTCGACGAAGCACTTGACCGACGAAGAGCTTAAGCAGCAGTACGGCATCCATCTGACCTCGCGAATCCAAGCAGACAGTGAAGGGAAAGAGGCGAAGTGGGCAGACATTGACGATGACGAAGATGACTGGGCTCCAGAAACAATCGAATGGAACGATGGCACCAAGAGCACACTGACTCACGCCGATGTCACTCCTCAAACCTCACAGAAACCCGCGACCCCTTCTGAAGCCGGAGATCAGTCAAAGTCTGCCAACGCCTCGAAAGCAGTCGCACCTCAATTTGCGAGTTCGGTCGGTCCTAATGCGACGGTGCTCAAACTGGGCGCAAGCGCCGAACGGCAACAGGCGCAGAAGGCAGCGACTCTTCAATCTAGAGCCCCTACCGAAAAGCCATCGATCATTACAAAGGCGACTCCGGCGCCGGCCCCAGCTAAATCTCCATGGGCACCATTACCTCCTGTTGACAAGATCTCGCCGGTTGCCATCAATCCGCAGCCAATACCTCCCTCGGGCAGATTTATGCCTAGCCACCCATACACGCAAAGCCCTTCACTACTGAAAGCGCCGTCACCGGCCAAGGAGATCTCGGCGGATGACTTCAACCGCTCATGGCGGGATTCAATACCTGGTCAACAACGAGAATTGTACGTACCGGGCTCTGGCCGGTATGAAACGGTGCCGGAGCCCCGACGACGGATGTCAAGGAACGATCAAGGCTTTCGGACACCTGCTGTATTGCAGAGACCAAGCCAAGCTGACACGCACGCTCCCGCCGAACCTTCCCCAGCCTTTCAAACCACTCGAACAAGCACAGATCAAGCTCGACGTAGAGCGTCGTCTACTATTTCAGGCGGTAGCGGGCAGTTCGGTCGACGGATGTCCATCAAGTCAGGGGATTTACCGATGCCGACCATTGACACTCAAAGACATGATGCTGAATCAGCAATTCGGCCAATCTCGAGGGATGGTCCACCTTCGGCAACTCAGACACCAACATATCAGGCTCGTGGGACAGGCGACTATGTGTCTGTCGGTCCCACCTCGGCATTGGATGCAGATATCGAAGCTCAACGAGCTCAACAAAGAGCTTTGATGAAAGAGAATATTGAACGAGCCAGAAAGCGGAAGATAGAAGAAGAGCAACGATTGGAGGCCGAGAAGCAAGAACGCATTCGATTGAAGCTGGCGTCACTTGGACCAGATCCCAAGCATGCTAAAAAGCCAGAGGAACCAGCAAAAGAAACAGGAGACGCGGAAAATGAAGCGAAGAAGGACATTGAGCAGTCTCCTACATCTGCCCACGTCCCTGTGGCAACTGGAAGCACGACCACGATCACTACACACTCCCCGCCCAAACCTCCTCAGCCACTCGCTTCTGGCGAGCCGCAGCAGTACGGCATGATGAAAGTGCATTCTTTGGACTCGGTCAAAAAGATGGCCTCGGCGCTGTCCCGAGCACCAGAGCCGCAGAGGATACCTGTTCGAGAGAAAGTTGAATCCAGCACATCTGATCAAGCCAAGCAGGAAGCATTACAGGTACCTTCTCCTATCGTCAACGGTGTCAGGCCTGTGCCGGAAGTTCGACGAACGAGTGGGCAAGAACCAGCTCCCGCCTCTGAACCGAGTCCCAAGTTGCCCAAACCAAGTTCAGTTGGAAATGATGCGAGAAGTGGGTGGGGAGACGTCCGCCATGACCATCGTGCACCCCAAACAGCGAACCTTTGGGGTCTGCCCAACAACAAGGCTCTCGGAAACGGCACCTTCGACCAGAGTCTGGCAGGATATTCGCCTCAGGATCTGTCGAGGACATCTTCCACAGCAGCAGGTTGGATGAATGGTCGAACGCCGCACTCGGGCCGCTCGCCACAGATTCAGCATGTCAATCACATCCTTGCAGATAACAGACCGTACCCGTATCAAACAGTAACTTCTCCAGACCAGGGCCCGCTAGCAGCTGATAGTGAGGCCGATTCGCTGTTTCCCACAACAAAACCTGCTCCGATCGCTCCACCTCAGCCTCAACACATCCAACCCGGCGTGAATGGCGTCCCCCATGGGCCGAGGGTAAACGGCGTGGACGCTTGGAACGGCTTTCATGCAGTGGCCACTCAACAAGAACGTGCAGAGAGTGAGCGGGTGCAGCGGGAAATGGTGGCAAGGCGCGAGGAAGAATTACGGACTGGGATTCGGCAGGGCCCTGCTTACTCCTTTAATGAGACCTGGAAACAGGTGCAGGTCGGTGATCAGGCACAGCGATCAATCGCGGGCGTTTCGCAGTCATCCGTGCCCGCATCCAACGTCTTTGGTGCTGTAGGATCGTTGCCGGGCGCGGATATCGGCTCGCGAGGCATGAATGGTCCGCCAGGTCGTGGATCGAGGTTCTTCCCTCAACCCGTTGGTCTACAACATCCTCTCCACGATCGACGTGCAGTCACTTACAGTCACCCTGAGCCGCCGCGAACACCATCGCCGCCTCCTGCCGAAGAATATTCGAGCCTCCACCCTGCCTTTGACGGAGACTCCACCAGGCCAGTCGTGCATTTCCCACAGAAACCCGTCGTCAAACTACCGCCTGCGATGCCACCAACGCCACCCAGCCCTGCACATATTCAACCCGACCTTTCTCCGGCCACACCATTGACCTGGGCAGCAAGGGTTTCCATGCCACCACCACCGCCTCCTGCAGCAACACTTCGAGCAGTCTCCACTCCGATCGTGCAGAATCCTTCATGGCAGGAACGATTCAATGGCTTACTAGGCAAGAAGAGCTCTCCCGCACGGGAATCCGCTCAACCAGTAGGAACAGTGCTTGCAGTTGCGTCGTCGACTAGAGAGCCTCTTGACGTTCAACACGTGCTTGTTCCTGCGGCCTCAGTGTCGCTTCCTGTTGAAGCAGGGCCAATCTTGTTGTCTAGTGACACGTCGGTCACGACCAAGGATGTCGAAAGTGAAGATGATCTTTTTGAGGACCGAGAACTAGGCTCGCTACCGACCATCAAGTTTCCATTGGAGGTGCTCACGTTGCCAACGCCGCCATTCATTCCCTCAAGGGCAGTGGCTTCACCACCCGAGATTACCTCGGTGATTCCTTTCATGGTCAACAATTGGTTCGAGCGGCACCGGTCCACAGGCCCCCAATTTGCGCTGATCAAGTTCCCTGGTCCGGCGAAGGCCATCAAGAAGGAGTTGCCCGTGCGAGGGTCGTCGGCGCCACATCATGGCAGTCGGTCACGCTTTAGCAGCGGTCCACCCAGCTCATCAAGTTCTTTTGGCGGCAAAGGCTATCGAAATAGAGGCGGACCGAGATCGAGACAGGCGTCCAAAGCAAACTGATGGAGTATTTCCTCTTACGGCGTCTTTGAAAAAGGCGGAGGGCGGCATGCCACTTGCCCACGGGACGGAAGGCGACTTTCTTTTTCATAGGGATTAATGGTCGCCTCTGTTCTTTTTTTGACATTCGCCAGCGCTGGCAGCGCTCTGGATGCTGGCGGCACCGAAGCAAAACGGGCTTGAAATCTGATTACTACTGTATTTTCTTCGGAGGTCTCATAACACAAATGGGGCTTGCAGCTTGCAAGTCTACCGGGCAGAACGCGGCCTGAAGCAGGATTGAACACGTTAGCAAACCACTCCATTCTGAATGTTTTTTAATGTGAAATTTTTGGGAAGACCAGACCACCTGCAGGATACGTACTCGTAAATCCTTTTGGGGGGAGGGTTGAATCAGGATCCTCTGGTTCCCCTGATCCGGACGAATGTGTGTGTGGGTGTTTATGCACAGGACCCTCTACTGTGTAGGGGAAGCTGTCATATCTGTACTTTGGATTGTTGTATTTTTGGCTGTATTCGGACCGTGGATGGATGGAAAGGAAAGGAATGGGATGGGATGGGATGAGATAGGATAGGATACGATGGAATGGATGGGATTATATATCCTTTGAAAAAAAAAAAAAAAACATGCACACACCCACACACATTGCGAAATACCCAGCTAGGTGTCTAAACAGACAGATAGATAGATACCTGCCTAGAAAGATAGCGTAGGTTCTATCGAGACCTGGAATCCCGAAACCGAAACCGAAACCGATATCGGCATAAAATGAACAAATGAATGCAATGCTTTGTTTGTTTGTTTGAAAGCTTGGCTATATAGAAAGAAAGAGGGAGGGAGGCAGGGAAGAGAACAGTGTAGACTTGCAGCGGAGTCAGTCTCGCAATGCTGTGTTCCATGTCCGTAATAGACTAGCTAAGCTAAGCTACCTATGTAGGTAGGCAAGTAGGGAGAGGTCTGCAGAGATTTATCTTTGACAAACAAAAAAGCCCTTGGGTTTCCATCATCATCGTCATAGCAAGCAGTCAGGCTAGCACGCAGAGCAGCTTCGTCTAAAGCGGCCGTAAGAGAGATCATGTCCACCACTTGCCAAACTTAACCCGACTTGTTGCTTTCCATTCGGGACAACAGGATAAAAATCAAAAGTGACCGACCAAGCGCTGCGTGACAACCGTATTTGGGTATGTTGGGGTTGGGTTTGCATGGGAGGTGTAGGTGGGAGAGTGTAATATTGTTATGCTGTTGCGGGGAAGGGGGTTGTGCTTGACAGTCATGCATCGGATATCGTCGTTGCCATATGAAAAGTGTCCGCCAGATACGTGTTGAGCAGCAAGACAAAGACGTGGTGGATCATTGGCGTCTACGGTCTGGGCGAGAGGAGCTGCACGAATTCCTCATCTGTGCCGCGACGGAATAGCGATTAGCCATCCAATCGTTGATGAATCGACATGCAAGCCAGGCTTAGAAGCAGATAGACCAGGGGGGATTCCATGCCAGCAACGGCTCTTTCGCTCAACAAAAGCAAGAACCAAATCAGAACTGTGGGGAGTGGTGAAACGTACAATCTATTGTCCCGTTCTTGTCCTTGTCCGCCTCGCGAATCATCTCGTCGATCTCCTCATCCGTCAAGTTCTCCCCAAGGGATTTCATCACTTGACGTAATTCGTCGGCAGAAATGGTGCCAGAACCGTCTTTATCGAAGACGTTGAATGCGGCACGGGTCTCATGAGCAAAGTCTTGAGCCTTGACGGTTGTAGACATCATCTTGAGGAATTCTATAGCATTGTCAGACTAATTCTGAAGGAACGCTTCCTAGAGATGATCAAGTCGTAGTAGCAAAAACTTACCTTCGAAGTCTATGCTGCCGGATCGATCGACGTCGACCTCATTGATCTGAAGTGGGTGGCATTAGTAGACCGAGCAGACTCCATACCTTGCTATGAAGCTAGGTCTATGTCAGATCTTACCATATCCTGCAACTCTGAATCGGAGGGATTCTGGCCAAGAGACTTCATGATTTCACCGAGTTCTTGCGCCGTGATGGTACCTATGCCATAGCAATGTCAGCGACAAGGGCAATTGTGAATCCCATTCTCGGAGCACAATAGTCGCTAATCATTGCAAAGGTATTGAACTTTTGGAGGTCGTAACATGGGATTGCCCCGACAAGGCTGAGTTTCCTCTGCGAAAAAGATCGTAAATATCAAGGCTGGAGTAACCTTACCACTTCCATCTTTGTCCTACCGTAAAGTGAGTCTGGGTACAAACAATTGTTCCGTGTCGAGGAGATACTTACGAACAAAGCAAAGACATCCTTGTATGCCTTGACCTCTTCATCGGACAAGTGTTTGTGGGTGACGGGAGTCTGTAAGGCGTGCCAAGTTAGCTCGGAGTTTGTTTGCTCGAAATCTAGGCAGCCCGAAGTGGGAGGCTGAATCAAGTCGGAGATGTGCCAAAACCGGCGGTGAATTCACATACCATGGCGGTCTTAGATTTGTTCGTAGATGGGGGAGGGTTGGTATCGATCTTCTCGAGTGTAGGTGGCATATGGAAGAAGAGATGAAGGACGAGACGGGGCTGAGATATACGAGGAGGGTGATAAGACGCTAGTCTGCGTTGGACTTTTGACAAAAGGTCAGGCTCAGCGATGGGGGGAGCCAAAGGACCCGAGGGGCGCGAGACAGCCTTGGAGCGCCTACGCAAGCGGAATGCAGGTGCCTGATTGTGTGAGAACAGGGCCCAGCTAGGCTGAGAAGTGGATGGATTGGAAGGATTGGAACAAGGGCCGGCGCCACGACTTGAACAGCTGGTCAAGGCCCAAACACGGGGATTTCCAGACGGGTGCAGGTAGGGCAGGATGAGACGTGTAGGAGGAGGGCAGACTGCAAGGTGTTCTGTGTCGACTTGTTTGGGATCGGGCTGAAATAGCAAGCTGAAACAAGAGGGATGATTTGATGCCCTGTCGACTGGTTGAGTGGTAGTGGTGGTGTGGTGGTGGTAGTGCTTGGTGAGGTTTGGCTGTCTTCGGTGTGAGATCTTGGGCAAAAGGTGGGGAAAGGAGGAAGAAGGAAGGATTTCATGTGCAACATGTGGCGGGGGGCCAAATTGGTTCCCCCTCGTTTTGGTCTCGTGGTGCCTAGCACGTGAGCGCAGCCTTGGCATCTCACGTGATTGGTGACATCAGAATGAAATGACGAATCAGGGGGCTGTCATTTGATTCCATTGATGCCCAAGGCTTGACCACCTGAGCATCCACACCACCTCCCAGGCCCAAGTCTACTGTATATACCGCTCATATTGTTCGTTATCTCTCTGAAATCCCCATCTACATGATACCGCGAACTTTCAGACCTTGTCTTTCTACTGCACAACTTGGAACTTTCACAATGCTCCACCAAGCAAAGCTCTCCAACTCTTCCAAGGTGCCAAATGGCAAACTGATATGTAAGTCTCCCTGACTCCTTATCCAGAGCGCACAGAAAAGTCGGGAAGGCCAAGGGTGTTGGACCCCAGATAAGGACGGGCTTGGCTCAGGTACCTAAGAGGTATATAAAACAGATATGGAGGGCATCTGCTTTCAAGTTGAAGAATAAAACCTGCTTTGAAACGCTGCGCGAATCACGTCGGCAACCATCTAACAACTCACTTCTTCCAGTCGCCCCTGGCCAGGCCCCGCTAGAGCCTTCGCAAGAGGTGCAGCATGACCAACAACCGCATCGCGCCGCACAATTCACCCACTCCAAGCTCCGTCGCTCAGACCTGTCGCCAGACCCCTTCACGCAATTCCACTCCTGGTTCACCGATCCCGCACTAAAGACGGCCGTGCCCGAGACCGTCACTCTGTCCACAGCTTCACTCCCCAGCGGCCGCGTGTCCAACCGTGTCGTGTACCTCAAGGAACTCGACTCGCGCGGCTTCGTCATCTACTCGAATTTCGGCACGTCTCGCAAGGCAAAAGACATCGCCTCGAACAAGTACGCGAGTCTCTGCTTTTGGTGGAAGCCCGTGGAGAGGCAGGTGAGGGTCGAGGGCGTGGTGGAAAGGGTCAGTGCCGAGGAGAGCCAGCTTTACTTCGACACGAGGGCTAGAGGGTCGCGGATCGGAGCGTGGGCCAGCCAGCAGACAAGTGTCTTGGAGCCTCGCGCGCCAACGTCAACGACTGCAGGATCCGAAACGGAGCAGAAGAGTGACGTGCCAGCGGAGGAAGGGGGCGAAGACGACGGACGGGCTGCCCTCGAAGCCCGTGTCAAGGAAATGGAGGCCCGGTTCGAAGGCCAGGACCACATCCCCGTGCCGCCCTTCTGGGGTGGCCTGAGGATCATACCTGAGACGATCGAGTTCTGGCAAGGACGGGAAAGCAGACTACACGACCGATTCCTGTACACCAGGATAGGAGATGATCTCGACCAAGACAGCGAGTTAAAGTGGAAGATTGAGAGACTGAGCCCATAAAGTGACGGAGACAAGGGGACGAACGCCGCATCATATCACAATTACAAACTTACAAATGGAACACAAACTCGGATCTTTGTAGAGGTTTCAATATAGAGAGTTGGATTCTTCGCCAGCCCTCCTCTTACCAGCTCTTGCCGGTATTCAGCATGTCAACTCCGGTCTGGAGGACTACACAACGGATCTAGACAAAACCTCGGCTGTCTAGATCATCTATCAGAGTAGCGAGTAGAGATTATTCTTGGTGTTCTGTTGTACACGGGCAACCCCATTTTCCTTTTCCCCCCGAAATCTGCCCCCATGGAGCTCCCGCCAGCGCCTCCCGCCAGAAGGGAAGGAGAGCCTGCTGATCATGTTCCATATGCGCCACCCACAAAACACCATGCACAAGGCTGTCGCTGGAAGGACAGCCGAAACGAGAACGCCGATATGCACAGAACCACCATGTAGTCGTGGCTCGTTTCCTGGGTATCATAATCAATCAACAAAGGGAATGAAGCAGTCGAGGCAAGCGTTCATCGCCACACTCGACCGGAAAAATTTTTGATGC